TATCCTAAGTCACCCTATGACTGGGCACTAACTCATTTTTTCTATTTTTTAAGCAGAAGTTTCTATTTTCTCCCAGAGTTTGCTAAAAGGTCTCAGGTCTAAGGCCAGGTCTAACGCAGACCAGAGAACCAGGGTTAAGTTTTGACCACAGTTCAACAACTGGGGCTCCTGACCATCCTCTGATTTCATCGGTCAGAGAAGAAGGGACCATTTTGGAAATCACAGTAAAACTAGGAAAGAAGATGGCCAAACATCTGCTCCTTTTATCCCAGGGCTGAATACACAGTAGGTTCTCAGTAACAGCCAGGTAGATGACCGGCCAGTGAGCGCATTCTTGTTTTTTCCTCTACTCTCTTCTTTTAACCACACAAGCTGGCCCTCGATAAAAACACATAAATAAGCAAACAAAGGAGGCACAGCCCAGTGACCTACCCTGGGGACATAGTTCCCACAAGAATGAGACAAACAGACAAAAGAGTTCTCCCTGGAGCATGTTATTCAAGTCTCAAAATAAGATCCATCTCGCATTTCAAGGTACATTTATTTTAGGGAGCTAGGATAAGGATTTTGTGAATAAACTGGTGTGTGGGAACAGGAATTAAAATAAGCAGTGACTTGCCGCCTGCCGACGTGGATGTCCTCACATCCCACTGCCTTATTTTTGGTTCCATTCTGGCTTGTTTTCTTCTCTGGGGCTTTCAGAGATGATGGGTTAGAAAGAGAGGCTGGGGATAATCATGGCTTCTGTTCATTAAGCTGGTCCCATGGACGCGGTCCTTTACTCACAACTTCACTGAACCCCATGACAATGCTCTGAGACGAGCGCTAATATTGTCCCCATTGCACAGGTGAGAAGACTGAGTTTAAGACAGGGAAAACGACCTTACTCAAAGCGACCCGTTAGCAAGAGGCTGAGCCACCATGTGAGCTGAGGTGGTGGAGCCCAGAACTTGGCTCTGACCCACTCAGCTCTATTGACTGAGAACCTGTAGGAGCCCCCAGCCCTTTCTCTCTCTCTCTCTTAATCTCTCTCTCCCAGGTGGATCAGGTCCAATCTCAAAGTTGCTAAGGTACCCTGGGACTCAGGAGAATCCACGTTAGCTCTTTGTGTTTCCCTGATCTGAATGGCAATTCTAGAAACTGGAGATGGATGAGGAAGACTAGGAAGAAGAGGAAACATGGGCTGGGTGCTTTTAAATAAGATCTCTTCCCCCCCCCCAACCCCGCCTGTCTGAAGGGAAGCTTCTGTGAGTAAGAGGAGATGGAGGGGTGCCAGCATAAAGACAGCTCAGTCATTCCCAACCCAGTCCTCAAAACCCCAGATCTCTCAAGGGTAAGGACAGAGGCAGAAGAACTACATACGAGAACAGACATAAAGTCAGACCAGATCATGGGTAAAGCACTGTCCCCCACTCCCCGACTGTGGGACACTGGATGAGAGAGTTAACCTCTCTGAGCCTCCATCTCCTTATCTGTAAAATGGGGACAATAATTCCTACCTCACAGGTTTACTCCAAGGACTAGGTCACTTCACATACGCAAGGGGCTTATCAGAGTGCCCCGCATCTAGCACAACTGGAATAAATAGCTGTTTTTATTAAAATCCTGTCCAGTGGGCTAACATGATGCATGCAGAAAAATCAATAAATAATTTTCCTCTGTAATAGGCAATTATATACGAACAATAGGAAATCTAACGTGATGTGAGTGATGCTCTAGCAGAAATAAGGGTGGGAGCATGGTGTTCATACTGCTTTTTACCCCCAACGGTGCCAGCTACAGACAAGCCCTCTGCTCCCGGCAGGTCTCCTGCAGCACTGGGATCGACCTCAGGTTCCTGCATCTTCTCCCAAACCTCAGCCCGTCAAGGCAGTGCCTTTTCATTTTCTGAGAGGAGGGCAGCACTTCATGAAACGCCCTGTTTAATGGGATGATTCCTTTTACTTTATAAGCCATACCTCATGGGAATGTTCATTTTTATCTCTGGAGCTCATCGGTACCATAATTGTTTCACGGTGTAATAACCCATGGATTAAATCAGACACGGAAACCTCCTTGAAATATTATTATACGGAATTCTCTTCCATAACCGGCAGACCAGTTTTGGATTTTTTAGCCAAGGGGCTTAGTTACCAACAAGCCAAAAGCCTCTCATTAAAGGTGTTTTCTCCAACAAGAGGAGAAAGGTGATTTGTTGCTATTATTTCATAGCCCAAAAGGTTGCTGGTTTCTGTTTCCAGGTTCAATAGCACTTTCTAACACACTACATAATTTACTCATTAGGCTTGTTTTTAATCCTGTTCTTCCCCCGTGCAACGTCAGAGGGCGACACTGGGATAAGCTGATGTGGGATGCAGTCTATTTTCTTCACTGTTGTTTCCTAATCATCTGGAAAAGTGCCCGGCACATAATAGGTGCTTTATAAATATTGTTCAATTCATTAACGGATTAAAGCACATTTTAGAGCATGTCTTCTTGAATAGCAACCACAGCTGATACAAAGTATCTCTCATTACTTTTCCCTTCTCTCTTTCTTCCCTTTTTCTGTTTGCTTGGATAGATTTTCACTAGATCAGAACATGCCTCCAAAAATCAGGATGTCATCATCCACAAAAAGGCAGGGGTTTTTACAACATCCAAGCCCTTCTGACACTAAGACTCTCCAGGGAGCATCTCACTCACAGCAAAGGAGACCCAGCTCCAGACCCTCACCTGGGGTGAGACCTGCTAGCTGCAGAGGAGGGACGTCTCCACCACCATCAGGAAGGGGTCCCCTCCAACATCTAGGATCACAAGGGACCCTGACATAAAAGTCAGATGCAGGAAGTAGGAGGACCAGAACATAATTCAGTCCAAACCTCCCATTTTTTTTGATGGGAAAATTGAGGGTTCAGAAAAACAAAGTGGTTGTCCAAGTGCACAGAGGAATTAGAGCACAGCCAAGAAGAGAAGGCAGGTTCTTTTTCTTACCTCTTTACTTCTTCCTTTCCTCCCTCCCACTTCCTTCCTCCCCTGTTTCTTCCCTCCCTTCCTTTGTTCCTTGTCTATTTGTTTGGGATAGGTGTGCATGTGTGTGTGTGTATGTGTGAACTCTTTGCAACAAGATGGTTTAGAAGAAGCCCCAGTGAGCAGTCCATATATAATGCTGACCCAGGTACACTGGTGATTTAATTTCACTGACTTCTCAGTCCTCCACAACAACCAAGACCCCAACTTTTCTCAAATTGCCCATGAATGATGTAAAAGTCTAGGAGACTTTCTGAGCCAAAAGAAACTTTTAGACATCATCTGGCCCAACCTCTATTTTACAGATGAAAAACAGCAGGCCAAGGGAAGAAAGGTGAGTTCCCCAGGTGACAAAGTCAGCTAAGCTGAAGGGACTGGGACCCCAGGCACCAGAGCACATTAACACACACTTGGGATGCTTCTCAGTGGTGCGTGGCTCTAATGGTCTCATCACGCTGGAAAGAAAACCCCATCCAAGCAAGCACATCTCAGATCACAAAAGAAAATGTTTCCACTGAACAAGTGAATACAATTCTAATGAGAAAATAAGTACAAAGCAGAATCTGTATAAGATACACACACACACTGGGGCACACACACACATGCATGTGATTACTGCATATGTTACATATAAAAGATGTATCTTTTTAAAATACTTGATACAAGGCATATAATAAGTTCACAGTACTAGCAAGGACAACAAAACATATTGCTAGTGGAAACACAATTGATACAACATTTTTGAAAAGTTATCTATTACTATCTGTACAAACTAAAATACACATACTCTTTGATTCAGCAAGTCCTCTTCCTGGAACATGGAACTAACTACAGAAATAGAATTGCACAGATATGTGGATGAGAGTGTTTACCAAACCACTGTTTATACTAGAAAACAATCAGGAGGTGCATCATTGGGGTTATGGCTGAATCAATGCGGTACAGCAACGTATGGGCTTTTTGTGCAACTGTTTTAAAACCAATCATCACAGAGTTGAAGGAATGGCAATCAGTTATCAGGCAGTAAGACAGCCAAAGTGCAGTGCGATGTGATTAATACAATGATTTTGCACAAAGACCACCACCTCTAAAAAAGTATTATATGTGCACATCCATGTTTGTTCATGGTGGAATCCCCATGAAGGAGAGATGTGGAACTCTGCTAACACTGAGCATCCCAGGGAGAAGGCAGTGAGGGATGCGGGCGGAAGAGATGCTTAATAGTTTCTCTATACATCTTTGAATGTTTACACTAACTACAATACATATATATGGCAAAAAACTAGGTAAAGACCAAAAACTTCTGAACATGAAGGCAAAGGAACCCACAAACAGCCCTCAACGTCCTGTTTCAGCCTCCCCTCTTTCCTTGTAGACTCGAGAAAGCAGGAACGTTCTGAAGAAATTACTCTGTGCAGCACAGAGAACCTCAAAGCAGCCTCTTTAAGCCTTTGGCTGCCACGACCATCCTCCGAGCTGGTTACCTTTCCCGCCAAAGTGGTCCTAGTCCTGATACAGGAAGTGACCTGCCAGCCAGAGGCAGAAAGCGAGGTGTGAACCCAGCACCAGCAAAAGCCCTTCCTTTAACACAGGAAAGGGGCTTGATCTCTCTCCAGGTGAGAGTGACCCTAGACACTTTACCTGATCCTGTCCCACCAAGAACTCACAACTATAAGTAAACCTTGCAGGTCCCACTCTTCACAAGACTAAGAAGGACACAGAAGATAACTGTGGCAGGCAGGCCTTCCAGGGCACCTGAACCAGCTACTCGGAAAGCTGGCCTTGTCCCCCTGGGCTTCTTTGTCCAGTCCTGAATCCCAGTTGAATGAAAAGTGACAGAACCACAAACGCAGAGGTTCTGGCTGTGGCAGTGATGACCACTGGGCTTCAACAAGGATAAAACTGCATTCTCTGAGGCACTACCTGTGCAAATCCTCAAAGAGGACTGGCACCATCAACTTCTAAAACCCCAAGAGCTGTTCACATGAACACACAAAACCTTCTTACTGGGGGGACAGCCCAGCACCTCTGAGGCACCCTGGGTGCTAGATTTCAGCCATGGCTCAGGAACCAGTAAGAAGAAAAGAAAAGAGATGGACTTACCAAGCCAACTTCTGTTTAAGTACACAGACACAAACACGGGGGGCACCGTGAAGAAGTCTACTACAGAGTTCACTTCCAGCCAGAACCACAGCTTGTCGTTGGCTGCAATAAACTGGGGGAAGGAGAAGAGAGAAAAAATGAGAAGCATGGGGCCGGCATTCAAACGCTACCCTTTCGCCAAATGATATGTTTTGGTTTTTCATGGGGGCCTGGAGGGAGATGTTATGTTCTTCTCATGTCTACACCAATCAAGTGCTATTTTGATGTTAGAATTCACTACACAGCCTTTTCTAGAAAGTGACAATATGCTCTGTTGGCCCTGGGGGGAGATCAGCTGGTCTGTTTTTCTGTGATTTTCAATAGCATCCTAGGGAAGTGTGGGTGATCTCACCCTTCTTAAAGTCTCTAATATAAATATAACTGTAAATAAAGCATATATATGCCTTCATTCACATGCACACAC